TTTTTTTTTTTTTTGTTGGGAAAGTTTCCTGGAAAGAGTAAATACAAATGATCTACTTCAGAAAAAGAGACCCAATTCTTGTTTACTTCCTAATAGATGCTCTCTCTGTAAAGATGATGGGGAATACGGTTACCACCTTTTGGTCTCTTGTATGGTTACTAAAACTGTTTGGGAGTGGGTACTTTCTCGCTTTGGGTGTACTTGGAACCCTCCTGAGAGTGTCCAAGGCTTGTTCTCCCCTTCGTTTTTCAGATGGCCTAAGAAGCGAGGGAAGATGATGTGGAGGAGTATTAGGGCAGCTGTGTGTTGGTCACTATGGGGGGAAAGAAACTCTCGAATATTTTCAAAAAAGGAAAGATCCCTGGAAGAACTATTAGACCTAATACTTTTAAGGGCTGCCAACTGGCTAAAAACTATGGAACTGTTCTCAGACTTTCCTATTGCTGACCTGTTAAGAAACTGGAAAGAGATAGCAACCTCTACTCTGTGTAAGAGGTCTCTTAGTCCCTTGTGGTCCCCTCCTCCCTCCGGATTTATAAAAGTGAATTTTGATGGTAGTAGCATAAGGAATCCAGGGTCCTTTGGGATTGGGGGAGTTTTCAGGAATGAGGAAGGGATTGTTATTGCTCTGTTCTCAGGCCCTATTGGAGAAGGAGACTCTATTAGGGCTGAGATCCTTGCAGCTTTGGAAGGGGTTCAAAGAGCAWGGGAACTAAATATCAGTCGGCTAATTTTGGAAGGTGATTCAAAGGTGGTGATTAACTGGTTGAAGAAAGAGGACAGTGGCTTGTCGAGTTACAATAATGAAAAGAAAAAATTCTTATGGCTATGTAGAGGCATTGGGATACAATACAGCTGGGTGAAAAAGGACTGCTAATTCTTTTGCAGATGGGTTGGCCAAGCAAGGGGTGAACAGGGAGGCCATTTTTTGGGGCTATTTTTTAATCTTCTTTCATTGTAATTTTCTGATGGGGAGATAAGACTCTTTATCTCCCCCTTTTTTGTACTTAAAGCTTCTTAATTCTTAATAAAGTTTCTGTTATTGATAAAAAAAAAGACAAGGTGACCCCTTATCCCCCATCTTGTTTACCTTTGTTGTTGAGGTTTTGAGTAGACAAATCATCAAGACTGACCAAGAAAATCAGTTTAAAGGTTGGAGGATTGGTAGATCAGAGGTGGTGGTGTCTCACTTGCAATTTGCAGATGATACTATTATTTTCTGTGAGAGTTGTGATGAACCTAGTTTGAAGAATCTGAAAAATTTGGTGGATAAGTTTCAACAGGCCTCAAAACTAAAAGTGAATTGGGGGAAAAGCTGGCCACTAGAATACCTAGGTATGCCCTTGGGGGGAAACCCAAAAGCTGAAAGCTTCTGGAAACCAGTTCTAGAGAGATTCACTAAGAAGTTGACAATGTGGAAGAGAAGTTATATTTCCTTGGGGGGGGGGGAGAATAACCTTGATAAAATCCACCCTAGCAAATCTGTCCACTTATTTCTCTCTTTTTTTTTTTTTTGATCAATAACTCTTTCATTAAATCATCAATAGAATATTTACAAGAGGAAGACAAACACACTTATCTTCCAAGAGATCTGTCCACTTATTTCCTCTCCACCTTTAGGATCCCGGTGAAAATAGCCAGGAAGTTGGAAAAGATAATGAATGATTTTTTGTGGGAACCCGGTGATTAAAAGATGGATCTCTTAGTGAAGTGGGAACAAGTCTGCAAAACTAAGGAGCAAGGTGGCCTAGGTATAAAGAACATTTTAAAGAAAAATATGGCCCTCCTAGGGAAATGGCTGTGGAGATTCCCTTGTGTAGAAGATAGGTTGTGGCACAGGGTCATTAAAAGCATTCATGGTGAAGTGGAAAATGGTTGGGATGCAAAACCAGACTTCAATGCAGCTCCAAACTCCCCCTAGAAGGCAATCTTTGAGGTACTCCTTGTCAAACCTTAAAAATGAACTTGTTGCTAGGGTTGGCGTGCTTTTAGACTTGTGTCTCTCTTGGGACTTTTGTTTCAGAAGGGGTCTGAGGGAAAATGAATGTGCCTCCCTATTGCTCTTGATCTCAACCTTAGAGAAGGTCCACTTAGACTAAAATATAGTTGATAGTAGAATCTGGTCCCCAACCTTTGATGACTTATTCTCTTGTGCCTCTTTCTTCAGTTTTCTCACTCATTGAACTTAATATTTTATAATTCTTTAAGGTATCTTTTGGAATAGATTGTAGGAGAGATTTTCAACTCAATTCAACTAAGCCTTAATCCCAACTATTTGGGGTTGGCTACATGAATCCTGTCCCTTCATTGTGCTTTATCAAGAGCTAATATTTTTCTTGAAATCGTAAATTTTTAGATCATCTCGTACCGCTTTGGCCCATGTTTTCTTTGGTCTTCCCCCACCTCTTTCAGAGCCTTCTACTTCCACCAAGTCACTCAATCTCACTAGTGCAGTCACTGGTTGTCCATGCACATGATCATCTCATTCAATTTTTGCTCGTCATTAATTGGGCTACTCCAAGTCTTCTCTAATGCATTTGTTTCTAACTAACCTTTCTAGTCCTGCTACACATCCATGTCAACATCTTCATCTCAGCTAAATTCATTTTTATTGTATATGTTTCTTGATTGGTTGACATTCTATGTATTTAACTGTTATTTTAATGAAAGTTACCATTTCAAATTAAAAAAAAATGCCCTAACTCTGCCAGTGTGAACTTATCTTACACTTCCAGTCCCAAGCCCAGATAAAGGAGGAGGGTTGTGTCAGGTTGGTAGCTGGCACCAAAACTTTTTACCAAGCTCTCATGATCATGGATTCTGAGTTGTATTTTCCCTGTAAGAAGTTATTTTTTGCAAGTTGAAGAGGCTAGAAGGGCTACAGGTAGACCAACAAGGACATGGGTAGAAGTAGTAAGAAATGTTTAAGTGTCAATTATTTTACAATGGATATGGCATTGAACAGAACGGAATGACAAAACAGGATTCATGTAGCTGACCCCATGTAGTTGGGGTATGGCTTGGATGATGATGATGTTTCTTGATTGCCCTACACTGTTCCATATAATATTGTTGGTCTTAATCAAGGTGATTTTTCTGTACCCCAGCCTTAGCTAAGGGGTCAGCCAGGCCATTAGCATTCCTAGACACCCTTTTGAATGATCTATTGAATAGACAACCCAAGAATTGTGCCTGCCACACCAGAGGTCAAACCTTCCAAGGGACCATCACAACCGTAGCACTTAAAGCAAGGCTAGCGATCCTATTCTGCTCCTTTTTTGTTTTAGAGGAGACAGTTCTGGAGATGAAGTTGTTATAATATTTCTTTCTCATCTTTTAGCACTAAGATATAAGTATGATATGAATTCCTTGACAGAAATGGAAGATATTATCCACATGAAATTGCTCGTATTGCCAATATCCTTCAGGTACAGTCTTAAGCTGCTCAGTGATATGCTCCCAAATGGTGTTTAATGTAATTTTTGTGTAGTTATTGTTTAATGGATGATACTAGCTTCATATTCTGCTGAATAACAAAGGTTTGTTTGGTTGAAGCATCTTGGCATGCAACTATTTATTGTGATGAATCCATGCTTATATACACTATATTATTCTCAACCCCACTATATTTTCTTTTACCAACTGTTCTTTTGATTAGTTGCACGTTAAGTTGGAGAGAATCTCCGAAGTTGTGAACTTGTGATCTGCATTTTAGATGTTCTTTGGCAGAAGCTGGGTGTCTTTAGTTGCTATGTGTGCTTGTATTTTGTAGCTTAAGTGAAATAGCAGCTTTTGAGGGCTGAATCATGGCTATCTGGGGTCTTGGGAGGGGTTCACTGGATATAGACCTAACCTTGTCTATTGCAAAGTGGCTATTCTTGGACTCAAACATGCATTCTCATGTTCTTGGACTCAAACATGCATTCTCATGTTCTTGGACTCAAACCTTGTCTATTGCAAAGTGTTCGTTACAAGCATCCCAAAATGAAGCGCGAGGTGCAGCCTGACTCATTTGATACGGAAACATCATAAGTTTACATTGGGCCCAGTACAACTGTTCCCTAGTTACCCCTTGTTTAGCTAGAGAATCAGCAAAAGCATTTGCCTCCCTCCCCACCCACTGTATAGATAAAATTCAATTGATTTCATTAGAAGCAAATGATAAAGTGTTCGTTACAAGCATCCCAAAATGAGGCACGAGGTGCAGCCTCACTCATTGATACAGAAACATCATAAATTTACAATTGGGCCCGGTACAACTGTTCCCTAGTTACCCCTTGTTTAGATAGAGAATCAGCAAAAGCATTTTCCTCCCTCCCCACCCACTGTATAGTTACCTCCATCTGCTGAGTTAACCATTTGAATTTCTTCAATTCATTTCTGTATGCCCAGATCACTGAATCTGAGTTTTTTATCCAACCCACAACCACCTTGGAGTCCCCTTCTATCACCAAATTTATCAATCCTAGCTCTCTTTTGTGGCTGTGTACAATTCTGCCTTTAAAGAGTCTCCATTCCCCACTGGTCCTGAGAAGAGTGCTCTTAAGTTTCCTTCCTTGTCTCTAATGACATCTCTTAGTCCAGCTGGGCCTAGGTTGCCTTGACTACTCCCATCGAAGTTTAATTTTAGAAATCCTTCAATGGGAGGAGCCCAAACCAACCTTGCCTTAACCTTTTGCATTGATCTAGAAGCCACTAATGGCCAATTCCTCCAAATATCATCAAATGTGAAATTTTTGAATAGTTCCACCGTTTGTAGCTAGTGTATAACCCTAGTCATTACACACTCCACAATTTGTCGTTTGCTCCTTTCTTTCTCTTGGAAAATTCTGGCATTTCTTTCTTCCCACAAGGTCCACACCACTGCTGCTCTAGTGTACCTCCACATTACTCTTCCCCTCTTCTTCGGTAACACAAAGGTAGATGGGTCAAACAACATTTTTATCTCCGTTGGCATATTCCACCTGCACCCAAACAAAGAGAAAAACCAATCCCATATATCTGTAGCAAATGAACAGGAAATTAGTAAATGGTAACAAGATTCACCATCAGATTTGCATAGAGTGCACCAATTCGGGGAAATACATAGAAAAGGCCTTTTCTTTTGCAAATAATCCAGTGTGTTAATTTTCTTAAGAGCCACTTCCCAATAGAAGGCTTGAATTTTAGGGGGAATCAACAAAAACCACACTTCTTTCCAAGTAAAGGACAAAGAGGAAGAGGACTGACAAAGTGCTTTAAAAAGGAGGCACAAGAAAAATAACTTTTAGAACTTGGGAACCAAATTCTTCTATCTGGATAAGAAAGCTCTAAGCAAACACTATCAAGGAGAAGGAGAAGCTCTGACAGACAAGTTGCTTCCTCATCCCTCAAACCCCTACGGAATCCGAGATCCCAATTAAGACTCAAAGGCAAAGAAGGAAGAACAAAAAAAATTGAAATGACCTTATTTTATACAACGAAATAGAATACAAAGAAGGAGAAACTTCCTTTAAAGGCCGGTCACCAAACCAGGTGTCTTCCCAAAAACGAATTAAATTCCTTGAGCCAACATCATAGCTAACGTACCTGAGAAACTAAGGGAGGAGGCTTTGAATTGCTTTCCAAGGTGCTGCCAAGGTAGCCCTACGCGATACACCAGCGTCCTAGCCATTCTCCAATCTACCATGTATATTTGCCACTATTTCAGCCCACAAATTTTCTCTCTCAAGAGGCCATCTCCATAACCATTTCCCTAACAGAGCTGTATTCTTCTTTCTTACATTCCCTAGACATAATCCACCTTCTTCCTTTCTCTTACACAACCTCCCATTTTATTAAATGGTCCTTTCTAGTCTCTCCCGACTCCCAAAGGAAATCCCTCATAATTTTTTCTAGTTTCTCTTCTTCTCTTGGCGGAATCCTAAAGACAGAGAGAAAGTAGATGGGTAGGTTAGCCATAGTAGATTTTATCAGCGCGATCCTACCTCCCAAAGAGATATAACTTTTTCCAAGCAGCCAATCTCTTTTCACATCTTTCTATAACTGGGTTCCAAAACATACTTTCCTTCGGGTTTGCACCTAGGTGAAGCCCTATGTAGGTCAGAGGCCATGGGGTGATATGACATTCTAAGCAATCTGCTTTCCTATGTAGGACCATCCCCTCCATATTAATCCCTGCTATGCAACTCTTGTCCAAATTGATTTTCACATTTGACACTTTTTCAAACTTCTTGATTAGACTTTTCAATCTCTCGACTTTCCTAATGTCTCCTCCTTCACAAAAAATAATGATATCATTTGTAAATTGGAGATGGGTAAGTGGGACATTGTCTCTACTCACTCTCCAACCCCTAAATTCATCTTTTCTATTTGCCTTAGAGAGAAGTCTACTGAAGACATCTGCCACTAAAGTAAAAAGGAAGGGTGATAGGGGATCACCTTGCCTTAACCCTCTGCAAGCTGGGAAGAAGTCTTTTACCACTCCATTAACAAGGATAGAGAAATGACAAGAACGTACACACCCAAGCATCCAATTGCACAATCTCTCCCCAAACCCCTGTTGATGTAGAACTTCTTTCAAAAAACCCCAATCCACCATATCGTAAGCCTTTTCTAAGTCCAGCTTGCACACAAAACCTTCCTTCCTAGATCTCTTCATCTCTTCTACACATTCATTGGCTATTAGAATTTGATCAACTATTTGTCTCTCTTGAACAAAAGATCCTTTATACTGATTGATGAGGGAAGGGAGAATTACTTTGATTCTCAATGATAGGACATTAGCAATTATCTTGTAAACACTAGTTACTAGACTAATGGGTTGGAAATCCTTTGGATGGCTAGCATCACCTTTCTTTGGGATCAAGGCCAAGAAAGTTGCATTAACTCCAGGGCTAACAATATGTGTATTTGAGAATTCCTTAAAGACTTTCAGCAAATCATCTTTCAACACTTCCCAACAATCTTGATGGAAAGCCATTGTGAATCCATATGGGCCTGGTGCTTTAGACCTATTCATGGAGAACACTGCCTTTCTTATTTCTTCTTCCTCAAAATCTCTTTCCAGCCATATTGCTGCCTCCTAATCTAGTAAAGGCCACTCCAAGCCTTCTAAGCTCAACCTATCCTCCAGAGTTCTCATGTAGAGGGATTTAAGGTGGTCCACAAAGATTCTAGCAATTTCATCTTGATTTGAGATTAGCTCTCCATTGATTTCCAACCTAGCATTCTCATGTTTTCAGCCCAAGGTTTTACCATTGCACTAAGCAGTAACCCCTATATTGTTTGAATCATGAATGTTACCTGCTGTATGCGTTCAATTAAGTGTGAGAATAATGGGGGTTTGAGTATGAGAATGACCACTTTGCGCAAAAAATGTCAAAGGTTAGGTCTATCCAGTTCACTCTTCCCAAGACCTTGAATAGCTGGGACCAGCATTCCTATGATGTCAGAAACAGATACAAACTTGGACATGCATACAGGAAATGGGGATATGACTCTCTATGTCCTTAAATTCTGGACATAGATACATGTATGGGTATCCCATGTAATACACTTGTATCATGTGTTTATATATAGCTGTTGGATCTAAATGTCATTTCTCAAGACTTGTGTCTTGCCAACTTTAGTTAATCTTCTGACATGTGGAGATATTTTTATAGTATAATTTGTTATAAACATGGCATTTACATATTTTAAAAGTGTTAATACTATATAGTACCTCTACAAGTATTCATGAAGTAGGTATTGTATCTGATAAGTATTGGATACAACATCGGTATGCTGGGTATGCATGAGTATATGGTTATCATAGGTAATAACCCTTTGGCCCTCTTAGATGTTAAATCGTCACTTTTGCATAAGGGATCTAGATTGATCATGCATGGTCTAAATTACAACCTCAATATTTTTTTTTTCTGTATTTTAATCTTTTGAGTTTTATGTTCTATTTGAAGGAAAAAATATGAAAAATCTTGGGAGTTTATTCTTCTTTTCTATTTTCCCATGAATCTGTGGAAGAGTAATTAATCAGTCTTAAATCAGGAATAAGAAGAGAATAGAGAAAATGAGAGAGAATATGAGAAAAGAAAAAGGAAGAAAGAATATGAGAATCTGTGGAGAGAATTTTATTCTCACCCGCCTTTTAGTTGATATTTAATTATGCTCTTTTCAATATAAAACAAAGTTACCAAAATATCCCTACCTGAGTGACATATTAGAAAGGACATAAATACCTTGCCATAGTATCACCTAATGCAAGAGACTTCTAACACTCCTCAAATGGAGCATAAATGTCATTAACAATTTCTTGTTACAAATTTTATCCATTTGATTTCAACTCGAGCTCTTAGTGAATAAATCAGTTAACTAATATCCAGACTTAACATAAGGTGTAGCCGTGTAGATATATCTCTATTAAGAATTTCTCCCTCACAAAGTGGCAGTC